GCATTTATCGCAGGAAAATGGCTGTTCGATGCAGACGGTGGACTTGGTGGCGAATTGTCCACTTCCGGTGGTGACAGGATCCTCAAGGTCGCCATCGCCATCAAGGTCGTCGACACCCACGACGCCCTTGACACCCGTTGCATCGACGAGGAGCATGGGGCAACGGCCAAGTACACTTTTGCGTCCGAAGATCTCTTTGACTTGGGTCCTCCGTGGTCAGCAACAACAACAACAACAACCGCAACAACAACAACAACCGCAACAACAACAACAACCGCAACAACAACAACAACAACCGCAACAACAACAATCACAGCAACAACAACAACAATCACAGCAACAACAACAATCTGGAAATACTGGAAATACTGGAAATGGAAATCATTCAGTTTCCAACACGACGGGTTTGTATTTGATACTTTTGGTCTTTCTTTTCATTGATTTTTTTCCTTTTTTTTTCCGGTCAAACAATTTGCAATTTCCACAGGAACAAACGTTCATCGTGATACACTTTCCCATGAAAGCAGAGAGGTGTCCTCTAGAAGAAGCATCAAAAGTGATAAAGAAAAGGATGCTGCCAAGGAGAATATCGTGGGACAAGAAAAACGTGAAAAGAAGATCCTTCAACGAATTGAAAAGATCGACAAAATGGAGAAGGTAACGATATGGATCATTCTTTTCTTTTTTGTTTTTTTTTTTTTTTTTTTTTTTTTTTTTTTATAATGATAATAATAATAATAATTGTTTTGCTAAAAAAAGTACATTCGTTTACTATCCTAGTCGATCAGCAAGGAGACGATAATTGACGACAAAACGATCGAGAGTCTGTTAGAGAAATATCCGGAAAAGGAATTGTTCGCAAGCGCGAAAGAAACGAGAGAAAAAGAAAAAGTAAAGAAAGCCGTTTCCGAACCCTCACTCGTATCTCGTGAATCAACGTCGACCCCAAATAGTCGTGACAAACACAGACACAGACGTACAAAACGTCCACATAAAACGAGACCACCCAGTAGATTTGGTTATGAGATTGCCGACCTTGATGCATTTTTAACAAAGGTAATATAATTATCATGTTAAATTTTATTTCTTTTCGATTTAAAATGATTTTGATTTATAAAAAAATAAATAAATAAAACAAAGAGGAAATATAATCGTTTATAAATTAATATTTATAGGCATCCATCGAGAGACCAGCTAACATCCCAGTTGTTTTATCCTTTCCATCGGTCTTATATCAAACGCAAGGTGGTACACAGGACGAGATGGCTCTACCGCTTGGGACAGTAGTAAATGCAGTTTTTAAAAATCAAACCTGGCTCTACGTGCAAACACCACATGGCCAAGAAGGATATGTCGGATATGCAGCCTGTTTACCACTAGGAATATTACCGCAACCTACGCGTGGTCCATGTTGGGAAGATTCCACTGATGTTTTTCCACGTCCATTGGGTATGTCAAGAAAAAAAAAAAAAAAAAAAAAAAAAAAAATCATCTGCAATATAGGACAGAATATTTTCAATGAGAATATTTTCATAATAGAGAATACATCGAACTAAACTATTTTAAATATATATATATAAACATATTTCTATATTCTATACGTATTTCTGTTTCGATGATCTTTCAGGTAACATGACTGATACAGAAAAATTAAGAGACACAAGATCTGAATGCGGTGCACGAAGTAGAAACGCCAGAGTAAGGAGAGGCTCACGAGATGCAGTTTCCGCTTGCGGAGAACGCAGTGTCGATAGATTGTATCTAAGAGCAGCTGCAAATGCTAAAACGAAAGGTGCCAGGCATACATTGCTCGTCATACGTAACGATTACGAAGGTCGTGGTGCAAACTCTTTGAGTGTTTCTAAAGGTGACGTCGTTGCTCTTTTAAGCGATCACGTCAATGATTGGTTTTGGGTTCGATCAAGAGATGGTAGGGAAGGTTTTATACCGGCTGTGGTTGCTGGTCATGGTTTCTTATAAAGAAAAAAAAAAAAAAAAAAAAAAAAAAAGAAAAAAAAGGAAAAAGGGAAGAAGGAAGAAGAAGAAGAAGAAGATTCAGTCATGCGTAGTATCCATTGATTTGATTTAAAAACAATGGTACGATATTGTACATTTGTTGTATAAAATTTTATATATGGTGTGCAAAATGTTATTGTAATAATATATATTTATTACTTGGACCGAAAAAAAAAAAAAAGATTATATCTTTCGTAAAGAAAAATATCTTATAAGATGCGATACGAGGTGATACGTTAAACTCCATCCATAAAGAATTATTAAAAAAAAATTATTAATGATATCACATTCGTACGTTTACGTGTAAGAATATTAACTTACATCAGGGGCATACTCCAAAGTTAGTTCCAATGGTGATCCTTAAGGTGGCATAATTGAAACTTCGATAATTGATTATTTACATCGAAATCTGAAGATCCTCTCGTTCGATATTATCACAAACCGTCGATTTTATTTGTCCACCTGACAAGCTTTATAGTTCGAATAAATATTTTTTAATATAATTGAATGAAGCGCAGGAAGATCGTTATCTGATAACATTTAAGTTTCAGTCTTCATAAATAATTACTACCTGCTTGAAATCATATCTCTATGAATTGTTTATAATAATTAAAATAAAAAAAAAAAAAAAAAAAAAAAAAATAAGAAAACAATTCCTTTTTTATTTTATTAAAAAGAAAAAAAAAAAAGAAAAAAAAAGTTCACGGATTATTCTTTGAGATACGAGTTAAACAAATTATTCTGTAAATATAAAATCGTATATTATGCAAATTTTAAAGTCATTTCCCTATAATTAAAGTTTGTACATAAATCAAGATTGTTCGATGACCCCGCTATGCTAAGCACCTTCTGTGGTATTTCTTGATAAACAGTAGAATAAACTGTATTACTAGACGTTGGCACTTTAGCTAATGTTTCTCCTTGATAAGTTAAATGATATACATGAGGTGCAGCACCAGCTGCTATGATACGTTCTTCATATATATGTGCAACATGAATTCCTTGATCGGTAAGATCAAATACTGTGGCAGGTTCCATTGTGCGCATATGCCATAAAGATAAACTAGGTCCACCGCCACATAGCTAAAAATATTTATTTTTTTTTTTTGTCTTTTTTATTCGTTTCTTTTTCTTCTTTTTTTTCTTTTTTTTTTTTTTTTTTTTTTTTTTGTTTGAATAACTATTAGGTTGGAAACTATGAAACGGGCGTTGAATGAAATAAATAACTAAACAAAAACGCCCATTTCATAGTTTCCAACCTAATATTATTCGCTTATATGAGATGCCTTCATGAAGGCATGTATATAAAATAAAGACTGATCACGTACCAACCAATCTTCCGTGAAATCAACAGCACCTATCCATTTACCAAACTTTGGACGTGCCACTTTATCTACCATATGTGGATTCAAGATATTTGTATTTTCTTTTTTACGTAAGTCCCATAACCTAACTGATCCATCTTCGCTACTCGATGCAAGTTGATTACCTCTATAATAATACAAATTCATTGGAAATATTTCTAAACTATTATTCATATTCATTAATTCATATAAAAAGAAATAGACTTACGCTAAAGATAAACAATGTATAAAGTCAGTGTGACTTTGTAAATTTCTAAGTATTTTTCCTTCTTCCAAATTTATAACATAAATATTATTGTCTCCGCAACCGGCATATAAAATATTATTTAATTTGGAATATACCATAAAATTTACATCAGGCTTTTCGTAACTATCTCTAGAAATATTACATTCAAGTTAAAAATCTTTTTAATTTTCATTATTTCATATTCATTGAATATTTTGATATTATTATACTTATTAGCTGGAATTTGAATAACCCATGATGGTTTGCTCTTAGTAGCTTTACTAGATGCAACTACTTTCCAATCCCATCCTGATATTTCACCGACTGTACCAATAATTAAAAAATTATTCGTTGCGATCATGCTTTCGACATGTTGATCAGGATAGACGGTCGAACGATAATTAGGACCTTGCAACTCATTTTCTTCGACTTTATGAGGTGTCAAAACTTTCGTTAAACTATATAAATATATATTATATAATGAAAATTATACATTCTTACCTATTATATCTCAGTTTACTTAAAAATAACAAACGATCATTGAATTTCATTTATTCATATACAGTTAACCTATATTAGAAAATTTTTCATATTATAATTAAACTCACTCAAATATGGATATATCACCGTAAATATTTCCTGCTGCAAGGTAATTCCCATCGATTGAAAAAGTTTGCGATAATATAGTATTATAAAATAATTTGTGATCAAACATTTTTACGAGAACTTCGTTTACCAACAAACACTAACTATCCGCCATCTATGTATGTGACGTCACAGAAGTATCGATGATTCGATATTAAGACTGTTCATTATCGTTTATTTCTTTAATAGTTTTTACATTATCGATAATAACAGACATCATTTTTGATTGATTTTGATTACAATATCATTTTAATGATCAAAGTTTAATCTTTTTTCGTATTTTTAAAAAAGCTTTATTTTCTTCGAAAACAATCGTATATAAAGAATAGTATTTTTCGAGAATAATCTATCCACAAATAAAAACCTTTTTCAAAAACTCGAGAAAAATATGATCTAGATTAAATCTTCGTCTTTAAAATGAGATTTCTTTCATCAAAATTGATCAAGAATTATTCCTTTCCTCGTTGGTGGTGTAAATGATGTTTACGACATTTTTCGTAAAGAAAAAGTTTAGTACTGTGGCGCCTCTTGAATATTTGCGGCAAATGAGAAGAAGCTCATATTTCCACTACGCGTCAAATACTAAAATATTTACTCTAACCTACACGAAACTAATAATTATGTGTACGTGAGAGAAGCTTATATATCGATACAATAGACGCATGGTGGGGATAGCATTCCCCATTTATTTCGTAGTTCATATTTTGTCCATACCTTGTGTCGCTAAAGTCGCACACATCTTGGAACAAAATGTAATGAATAGCCTTAACGATATAGGTTACATATAAATAGTATAATGTTTTCTCATCCCTTCCACATGTATGTTGCCATAGTAATATTCGAAGTATAAACAATGAACACGCTGTATTTAATTAGATTCATTACTGATAGTCGATACGTGTTATTAAACGTATCATAATTTAGATTTCTCTAATATTTATCTAAATATTAGATTATATTAATCTATTAATTAATTATTCATACAATTTTAATAGTTAATCGTCAATAAGAATAAATGAGTATTTTAACTGCAAGGAAATATACGACGATAATAATCGGACAATATTTAATTTTATTTTTCGATATTTGCGTTAATTCTTTTGGAAGTTTCGCTAGGCAACATCCAATTAATTTATTAGTTCTTTATGTGTACGTGATTATTAAAATTTTTATTATAAAAATAATTTAGAAATTGACAGAATATCTTTAAAAAAAAAAAAAAAGAAATAATAATTCTTTTTTTTTTTTTTTTTTCTTTTTTTAATTTCGCAGCATTCAAGATTTTTGTCTTATCGTAGCACTTATTGTACTTTTGGTTAACTTTTTCTCGACATATATTTTTCAGGTAATTAGAAATCTTTTATTACAATCATTTATAGAAATTTATACGATCTGATTAATTGATTCTATCGTAGGCAGGATTAATACAATTATTGTATATTCGATTTCGTATGACATTAATTGTCTGTATTTTATACTTGGTATTAAGTATCATTTTACATATATGGCATATTACATTACATTGGTCTAATCCATTAACACATAATTGGACAAAAGGATTTCATGCCATATTTGCTGTGCATAGAATAGGTGCGTAATTTTAAATAATTTCATAATTAATTAATGTATATTTTATTAATAGAAATAATTTCTTCTTTTTTTTTTTTTTATCACTATAATAAAGTTTCAGTTTTCTATTATTATTTCTATAAGAGAGCAGCTTTAAAAATAGCAGACCCAAAATTGTATGAAGGATCCAGTTGGGTAGAAAAACAATTGAGTCTTCTATGAATATTTATTTTCTTATAAGGGAAAATTTTTTAATTTGAAGGAACTTTATATTTATATAAAATACATATGAATCGCCTAAATCAACGCAAACATGTAATTAATAAATATTCAATATTAAATGTGTATTATATTAAATATAATATTATCAATATTGAATGATATAAATATCAGAAGAATGTACCATTTGCTTTTATTGCATAAATGTATATGTGTATAAGATGAACAATGATCATGATCTTTCATTTTATTTTTCGTCGTTTAAAACAATGATTAAGATGATTTGTAATAATTATAATAGATAATGATTCTGACTATAATTCACTTTTATTTTATTACTTAAAACAAAGCTCTAAATTGTACTAAAATATTTTACAATTTTGGTGAGGTAGTCTTTTAGTAACAGGTAATAGTAGTTGATCATGCTTTTTTAGTTTTAATAATCATGAGGTACAAAGGCTCAAATATCTTTATGAATGCATTGAATATGCGTTTGACAATTACAATCTAAAATTACTATGAGAGAGATATATTGTGCATTTTCAATTAATAATAATATAAGTAAAAAAAACTATATAGATTAGCATATATAGATTCTCCCTATAGATCAAAATCATTTTGGTAATTTCTTAAAATTTATTTATAATTCTAAAATTAACTTAATTTTTTAATCAAATATTAATCAATTATAATACGATTTAATTATGATATTAAAATAAATCAATTGTTATACTATTTTGTATTCATTTAATAATATGTAATTTGATTTATGATCATGTATTACGCTCGATAGAAAATATCGATCTTTTATATCTGTACGTATTTTTTTTTGTTTTTGCTTACATTCGTTACTTAATGTCACTTAGGGCATAAAATTTATGATTTTACTTGATATTTATGTACAACATAAAAAACAATCATCAAATATTTCCTTATTTTTGTTGTTGTTTTTTTTTTTTAAATCACAATATAACCTTTTTAATTAATACAATTTTCAAACAAAATAGTTACTTAATCAATTTGTAATATTAATACATTTTAACCTATTCCTATTTAAATGTGCTGTGATATAAACGCTTACTTATCAAAATAAATTATTAAAACATAATATGAACCATAATGTTATAACATTATTTAATAATGAAATTAAATTGTGTATGAGATTTTTATGTAATAATATTGAGGTTTTGTATTTTCTCATATGTAATTATTTGTTGCTACAAGCAGCTATATTAAAATATTATTACATTAACTTTCTACTTATTCAGAACAGAATCTGGAATTATTTTAAATGATAGTCGAACAATACATTAGAAATTGAAGCAAAACGTTAATAAAAAAAATGTATAACCTTGATGCATAAAAAGGTAATTTTTAGATGTTATATGCTTTGACAAGCAAATCATAATGTTCCGTATATAAACTATTTATTGAATATTTTGTATAATAAATCGTGGCATTGAGTTCATGTCTTATATCACAAAGTATAGATAATGTATAAAAAAATCGTATCTTTTTTTTTGTTTTTTTTTCAAACACTGTATGTACATGTTAATAACTCAATGCAGTCGAGTTTTAATTCTATTTTGACCAGTTTGTACAAATTATAGTATTTCATACATGTTAGAAAAATCTTATATTTTACGAGACTTTTTTTAAATTACAGAAAATCTAGTCTTTTTAATATTACGATAACATTATTTTCGTATTTTGATGAAAATGTACCATGACTGATGAAATAAGTAATATAGCAATATATATATATATAATACATATTAATAAATTTACAATATTATAATACAATTAACCTCAAAATACTTTTTGGTTCTCCTCATGCAATAGTGAAATATTAAAATACACATCAGACTTTGGTTAAATAATAATTATATATCTTCATAAAAGCCGCAAAAATCGTTTTTGTTACTTTTCTAAATTGTATACTTTAATATATTGATTTGATGTTCATACTGCACTGCATTTTTTTTGTTTTGTTTTAAAATGAAAACACATTTCTCACATATCACATAAGTGCAATATATATATACATATATATATTGTATATATATATGTATGTATATATATATATATATGTATATATATAGTTGTAATATTATATGTTTAATCGTTATAGTATGTCCGATTCTATTTACAAGATAATCTCTCCGAATGGCATCATTTATTGATATTATCAAGATCATATAAGCAATATATAAGACTAATCACACTGTATGGTTGCCATGAAGGAAAAGTAATTTATCAACTAAATGTGGTGGTAAGGCAGCTCGTCTTGTATCATATAAAACTTGTACTTCTGCAGGAATACGAGCTGGTGGAGCACAACAAGCAGGGACACAATTATACCTACATGCTAATTTTGCAAGATTTGGACATTTTGCTGATACTTTGGCCCACCATTGCAAAGGGCAATAATCAAGAGGTGCTGTTGACTCTGAATGATACTGCACTAACTCAAGATCAGCTTTTTCTTCAGCTGGCATTCCATTTTTTGTTGCACACAAGCCACCAAGTAAGAGTTCCATACCTGTAAGCATATACATATTTTCTGTGATTTTTTTTCTTTTTTTTTTTTTATACCATAGTTATACATTCAGCAAGTAAATTATACCTGACAATCTGCTCTTCTTACTTATTGGTTCTTCTTCAACTTTAATTGAATCTCCACTTTCTGCTTGTATTAATTTTGTCAACATTTCTTTTATTGGAGTTGCAACTAAATTTTTGTCTTCTTCTGTGGCATATGGCAACTGTTTAAACCTGTACATTCATATTTATAATAATAGTTAATTATACAATAAATTATATGGGTATATTTTATACAATATATAAAAATTGACATAAACGTATAATTTCATTTACCTTGGATCTAACGTAGTTGCAATTTGAAGAAGAAGAGTAACATTATAATCAGCATATCGTTCACACAGCATATCTGACAGAGATTCTTTAAAAGATCTTGCAGTTTCGCTATCAGAATCTTTTACTTTAAGATGAGATGATACAAGCTGCCAAAGTAATGGCCTTAAGAGCGATATCAATGGCATTTTCTCTTCGCTGAGTGTCATAATAGTGACCTTGAATGGTTCAAGAACATTAACAAGATCTTCAACTATTTTCCATTGATCAGGGGATAAATCAATAACTTCTGGTTCATTGCTTTCTATACTTTCTAATATAGATGAAATGATATTACGTCTTAGTGCAATTTGTTCCATCATATTGTAAGTAGATGTCCAAACGCCAGGATAATCCATCACCATAGTGTTTTCTTCCAGCTTAATAACATAAAAGGTATTTATTATATATATGTACATATATATATATATATATTATATAATAGATGAACATGCATTACCTCCATAATTTGTTCTTGCATAGCCAAAGCCGCAGAAGCAGTAGAATGATTTATAATAGCTCCAATAACCGTTCTACATTTTGATAATATACTAGCTACTTCAGGATTCTCAAAACAGGCTTGTGCACAAACTTGTAAAGTGTGAAGGAGGCATGGAATCAATGTTAAACCCTTAGACGATAATGCTGCTAATAATTCTGTTCTGGATGTTGCCACAACTACTGCTGTTATTCTTTCAACTTTGAGATACCAATCAAGTAACAATGTATCAATGGTATTATTCCATTGATGTTTATCCCAATCTAAAGGTGCATGTATACTACTTAAAACTTTACATTCTAACGAAGTTTCACCGGCATTTTGATAATACACCGATACAGTAACAAAACTTTCATTAGAATTTGATTTCCATTCCTCAATTGTTAATCCAACGTCATTGGTCATGCATGCTAATGTAGCTGCCACAGATTCACGAAAAGTATCATAAATTTTTGGTATTATTTCTTCCTCTAATTTATTTTTACTAGGAATTTCACAAGGTGATCTTAATGTGGCCACAAGCCTTTGAAATCCATGACCTTCCACTACTTCTGGTAATTGTAAGTCTATTATAATGAATTCGGCAATAGCATCTGATACAGTTTTATCATCTATACTAGATTGATGTACCGTATTATCTTCTGGCATAAGAAATGCTACATTTTGACTATTATTACCTATATTTGTACCACCTTTGATCATCACTCTCAGTGGTTGACCAATTGCAATATCATCTTCCATATTAGACAAACTTATGTTAGGGTCCGTTACAAATTGTATATCTCCATCAATTTGAACAGTACCATCGGCATTAGTAGTATATATATGCTGAGCAGAAGTTAATTCTGCTTTTATTTTTCTCTTTTGTGCTCTACGATCTTTTGCCTCTTGAGAAAGGACCTGTCTACGGGGTGGCGTATTCGCTTCCAATTCCAATAGCTCTTGGGCATGTTTATTTTGCAAATGCATTCGCAAATTACTTGTATTACGATTATATGCAATTTGTGTCTTACATAATATACAAACAATTTTCACCTTGGTAAGTATATCACCGTCGTCGGTGGCAGGAAATCCAAAAAATTTCCAATATATACTTCTCATTGACATTGGTACAACTAATTTTTTATAAGTATACGTATGTTTCTCTTCCATCATTTTGGCAAGAACCATATGCATTTCACTCTTGGTTTCGTCCGTTGTAGCAGATTTGTTACTGTTAGAGACAGTTAACGATTTATTTTCCATAATTATATCGTGAAATGCATAACTACCGGCATGTATCGCCTTTGATAAACCATAGAATGCATTTGATATATTCTCAATATATATTATGTATTATTCACGAATTCTCATGTCCGTATCAAAATGGTGGACTTTAGTTGCATAATTTAAAATGTTACGATTAAATGAAACAATTTCCCTTTTAAGAAAATTTATTCTTACGTTATAACGATATCCGCACGATAACAAATTTGCCGCGGATACTTCCGATATCACGGAACGCGAGGTTCGGTGAATTATTTTATAGATATCGAAGTTCAATTTCTCGCTTCGAAAAGAACGATGCACAATCGGTTATCGACCACGGCGTGTAACGATGCTATCGACTTTGCATCCGTTGTTCCGTAGAATATCGTTACAATACGAATCTCGGCAAATCGATCACCGAAGAAATTTAATCGACTAATCGTAGCTCCATCTATGACGCGCATATATCTTCAATATGATTGGATAATGCATTTGTCCATAAAAAATGATAATCATTAAAGTTCAACTAATACATCATTTAAATGAATCATTTAATCTTCTTTGATTAAATTCTATCGTATCATAATAAATATCACAAATATAAATTCATTACATTTATATTGGATTTATTACATAATTAATTTTGTCCAATATAATACACAAATTTACGTCGTAACTTTGAAAACATTCTTGCCAATCGTCGAACGTGAAAAGTCGCAAAGGATCGATTCGATTGAAAAATTTTCAGTCGAAATACTTGAAACGAGAGAGTGTAACAGAGATAGATAGATAGATAGATAGATAGATAGATAGATAGAGAGAGAAAGAGAGAGAGAGAGGGAGAGAGATCAATAGCGTCGATTTAATCTATTATCGTTCGATAATATTTTTTCACGAGAAAAAAAGAAGAAGATTAATTTTTTAGAAAATAAAAAGGATAAAAAAAGAGGAAAAAAAGAAAGAAAGAAAGAAAGAAAAAATCCAACGAGGAAAACGAGAGGGTGATAGAGAACGAAAAACAAGAGAGAGGAAAACAAAAAAATAAAAAAGAAAAAAAGAAAAGAACGAAAAACAAAGAAAAGAACGAGATTAGGATAGGACGAAAAGGAAAAAAGGGAAAGGGTTATAAATTGGCGGTAACTCGAAACCGCCATGAGGTTAGTGCGATATAATCGATATGTAGTTGCGGCAACGCGCCACCAGAGGGTAGGTCAGTAGTACATTTGGGGTCTCGTCGGAAGGCGCGTCAGTCCAGAGTCAACCGTAGACGGCTGTTCTTACGACGGATGTGACAAGGCCGTTTTTTTTACTCTATCTCCTCTCCTCAACGTTCTCTTCTCTCTTTCTCAACGTTTTCCTTTTCCTTTTTTTTTTTTTCTTTTACCTTTTTCCCCCCGTAAAACAACCCATCGTCGCGCCGATACGAGATCGTACGTATCAATTGTGAGATATCGTTTATCGTGAAACCGATCATTATTCATCCGTTGAGATATTTCGGCGGCAAACGAGAATAAGGACGAAAAAAGGCCGCGAATTCGTGACGATGATCGTGAAAAGTGTGACAGTGCGCGAGCTCGGTTAATATCAAAAACGCATTAAGAGAAAATCACGGATTTCAAGAGAACGTTTCGCCGTTCGCGTAAGTATATTTATATTTATATATTTACGTATATTTTTATGTTTTGTTTTGTAATTCAACTTTAACTGAGAGGAAAGTCATCGACCATCTTCGTTTAGTACTTACATATTCTCTCTCTTTCTCTCTTTTTCTCTCTCTTTCTCTTTGTCTCTCTCTCTCTCT